TTACTGTATGAGTGCATGTGACCGTGTTCTTCTTTTCTTTCTCCATTACAAATCTGTAGTCATTATATAATGTCGTATGCAGTGTATGTCTGCTTTATCGGTGTTCTTCTGCCACGCCGAAAGCAAACTGCACCAACTCTTGCTGTGTGGCAGATAAAGAATAAGGAATAACCTTCAAATTAAATCGTGGGCTCTCTCAGTGTGCCACATCAGCACAGACCTCACCTGTCTGCCTCACCTAGATCATAGCTGGAATGACAGTGTTACTCACCCTCTGGCACTGGGCTCCCAGTATGGGGCGTACAAGCCTGAGAACGCTGGGACGAAGTAGCACCCATAGGAAGTGCCAACCTTGGCAGCCAACTTCTCTGTGAGAGCAGAAGAACAGAAGCACGGGCTGAAATATCACTTTCTCGGCGCGACACCTCCTTCATCACCATGAGGCTTTGCGACACACATTTCTGATGAGGCAATACCGTGTGTGTGAAGATACAAAAGGCTACGCTCGTCATTCTCTTGTCATTGTCCCTGTGATCATTTGACTAAATCTATAAAAATAATGTTACTTTAAAGATGCACATTAATACAGAGCAGAAACCAGTGTTAATGTGCTTCACAGCCAGTGATAAGAAGAAACTCTGAGATGCAGATATCAGCATTTCAGAAGGAAAAACTGTCTTACAGCTTTATGCAATAGGTAAACACCATAATGTACTATTTAACGTTCATGTACTGTACTTCATTATACTTCCTATATACGAGACACATATAGACTGAGAGGCGGTAAAAACAATAAATAACCAATGACCAACCTATAACATCCGGTGCTTTTACATGCGTAAAAAGGCCAGAACACTCACCTATCTCTCCTGAGCTCTGGATGATCCCCAGGTTGTCCCTCAGCCACTGAACCACAGCTCCGGCAATGGCTACCGAGCCCTAGAACACAGGTCCAGGAGAAAGCTCAGCCCCTCTGTCAGGGCACACTCGCGAATACATTTCTGCGACACTGCCGTTGGAGAAAACTTGGAATGAACGCTATTGGTGCAAGTTTTTAGTTAGGTTTTT